AATAAAAAATAAATATATCTTTAACCTATATCTTTAAAAAATAAACTAGAAAGTTGTTTAAAAAAATAGCTGGCAAAAAAAATAAAAAAAGAAAAATAAATTTAACAATAATTTTTCTAACTTAGGTGTAATTAATATACATTTTAACAATTAATTTATATAAAAAAATTAGTTCATGTAATTTTGTAGTTCTCAATTTCTCTTCCTTCAAACTTCTTTTTTCTTTTTTTTGCTAAATTTTAGATTTACAATTAATTCTTCAAAATTTCTAAATTTAGATAATTTTCATGAGTAAAAAAAATGCTATTTAGTTATAAGACTATCCTACAATATGTAGGGTTTTTTATTCTTATTTTCTTAACAAAGTGACAATTGAAATTTAATTAATTTAATTGATTTTTATTGCAAGTAATTAAATTTTAATGTATGAAAAGTGAAAACTAAAATTACAATAATTAAATCTTAATGAAATATTGAAAAAAATTCAAAAATATTAATAATTTAATGACATGAGAGGCCATGTCCGACTTCAATATCTCTGTGGAATCCATTCTAATTAAAGAACCGTTAATTTTAACGGAATATTGAAATGGGAGTTAAACAAGGGCTAATTTGCCACCGCTCATGAGTTTAAGGGGTCAAGTGCTACTGATTTCAGTTGAGGGGCTTTTTTGCCACCTCTTGACATGTTTAGGGGGTAATTTGCTTGATTCACCTTTATTAATCGCATTGAAACACAAAATGAGTATTCACCGTAAAACTAATTGAAATATATAAAATAACCCATATTTATTTTTCTTTGATATAAGATTTTTTCACTTAACAATATTTACTGTTCTATATGTGAACAAGAATGATTAAAACAAAATGAAAAAGAAAAAAAAATTATATCATTTTAAACTTGCCAGCTGGACTTACCTGTCCAACATTTCTGATCTTCAAGCAATGAACCAGAAGGCTAAATGAATTGTCAATCTTTAATCTTGACACAGTGTACAGAACAAAAGAAAAAAGGTGTTTTTTGGTTATGTTTTAATGAGCGCCTAAGATGATGAAAATTCTTGTGTTTTATATAAATACAAACACTGAAAAGGCTTGAGAGTACTTTAAGTAATTCCTTATATTTTTATAAACTTAGCATCATTAATTCTTTGCTTCAACATATATATACATACTAAAAAGAAAAAAAAAAAAAGAAAAAAGTAAAAGAACAAAAGTAAAAATTGCAAATTTATTCACCAAAAGCGTCTTCGATAGAGCACCTGAAAACTTCTTCACTACCTTTCCAATCCAGAGGTGTCACGACTGGTGTTCGCGCCGATGAAGATTAGTCGGAATTTGATTACCAAACCTCAGGAATTGAATTTATTAATAAATAAATGTTATTTAAATTAAAATTAAAATTAAAATTAAAGTTTTAAGGTTAATACATACACTTAGTTTGATAATAGTAGTCTATAATTATAATTTTAAGTTTTTTAATTTTTTAATATTTCAAAAATATATACAATATATTTGATATATTTAATATTTATTATAATTAACATTTTATATACTTTTGAAATAACAAAAAAATATAAAAACTAAAAGATAGGATATCGAGAAGTGTTATTAAAGGAAACTATAAGAAAAGTTATTAACTCCTTTAAAAGAGCATGCTAATAAAGGAGTGTAGTGTACCCCAAATTCTATCACCGACTGGCATACGGTTGCATTTGGGATTATTTTCTTACAATATTTTTTCACATAATATCTCATAAAATTTATTATAATTAAAATAATTTTGATTGATTTTTTTATAATTTACCGATCATATTAATGTATAAAACTCTTTTTAAAATAATTATCAAACAATAATATTATTAAAAATAACATTTTGTACTCCTATATTTTAATAATTATATAAACATAAATGTTTTGTATCATCAAAACTGCATAAAACTAACCATTTAATGGAGGCATGCTCTTGATATTGGAAATTGTCTCTTCATCTAGTAATTCCCAACTGGCAACATGATGCAATTCAGATTGAAAAACCAAAAACTCTTTTATAAATATGCAACACTTTAAAAAATAAATATTTTTTATGAAAAAATATTTAAACACTTTATAACATAGTTCCTAACCATAGCATAATATCGAAACGACAGTTACTGAAGTCACAACAAAGATATACAATGTCTAGGTATCATTCCTAGATGATTGTGAATATTAGTGAGAGAGCCCAAAATGCTCTCAAAATGTCGGTGCTGGAAGATCCTGCACAAGAACTATAGCTTACTCAATAGCACTGGAAACCCAGACTCTACACTAAATAAAGCAAAGTATAGACAATTCTAGTGAAAACATTAATTGTGTGTGTGTGTCTATATATATAGAGTTGAAATATTCTTGATTTTTGTTATTTTAAGCTATCTAGATGAACTTACCTCCAAACATTTCCGATCTCTATCCAACCAATCACAAAGCTACAGACTTGGCAATTATACATAATTGAAAAGAATTCCATAAAAAAAAATATAGAAAGGATAGTTTTTTGTTTTTCTTTCTATAATTTAATAAGCTCCAAGGATGATGAGAACTTTTGGTCTCTATATATATCTCAAAATGGAACTAGTTTAAGTTATTCCTTACTTATCATAAATTAAAAAGTAGTTAATTATATATTCTTATTCTTTACTTCAAAATACGTTAACATTATTCACGGTAAAAGAAAAAAGAGAGTAAATGTTGTCCATAAGAAAGGAATATATAGTAATATTATAGTTACAATGCTATCTAAAATTGTAAATTTATAACTATTTTGTAGTATTAAATAAGTATAACGTAATATTAAATGAATAAATATATCTATATAATATCATAGATGAATTTTTAAATAAAAAATTAATTATATATTGATACATTACATTATAAATTTATAACATTACGTAGTGTTATAATTATAACATTTGAAAAGATTTATATGGGTTTGAAGGATTTTTTCAAAAGAACACCTGAAACCTTTTTCGCTGCCTTAGGAGTTTGATTGCGGTGATGTTTGTCTTTGATTGCTTCTTTGCTTTCAGTGGGGTTCGTTTGTTTCGAAAATTTAATATTCTTTTATGAAATCACAAGCAAAGGTAAATTTCAAAAAGAACATGAGATAAAATATACATTTTTTATTTTTATATTTGTTTGGTTTAAGTTTAAGAGAAAGAAATTGAGAAAATATGTAAATAGGGATATCAACTTTATATTTTTTTTTATTTGAAGATATTAATTTTCTTAATTTTTATTAAAAATGTCAATTTTTAATTTTTTATTTAAAAATACTAACTTTCAATATTTTAATTAAAAAATTCAT